CACAAAAACATACATGCAAACCAATGGAATAAACCCAAGGTAAGTTCTCATAACTACAGTCATCTGATATTTGAGAACAAAGCAAAAAACATGCAATGGAGAAAAGACACTTACACATATAAAATTAAACAAAAATACTTTTACATTTATGTTTGTCAGGAATACAACTCCATAATTTTCTTTCATCAAAATATTTTTTATATTCAAGGTAACACTAGTGTTTCTTCCTTTTCCCTTTTCTGGAAAAAATTAGTATTATTTCTTCATTAAATGTTTGGTAGAATTTATGGTAAAGAGATTTGAAGCTTCTTTTGTACAATGGTTTTAAACTTCAAATCCCCAATTTTGAAAACAAGATACACCACTACTGAAGTTTTCTTACATGAGGCTTCTCTTTCAAGACACTAAAGCTATACTTAAGTTGTCACAGTCATGGTCACAAAACTGTTCAAACCCAGCACTTGGGAGGCAAAAGCAAGGTGGATCTCCCAGCATGGTCTACATGGGGGATTTCTGGGACAACCAGGGCTGTACACAGAAGCAGTCTCAAAAAACAAAACAAAAACAACAACAACAACAAAAAGATAAATGTTTACTTTATGAGTATTTTGTCTGTATGTATGTCTGTGTACCACATGCATGCTTCACATCCACAGAAGCCAGAAGAGGGCACTGGATCCCCTTGAACTGGAGTTACATAATGTTGTGAGCCAGTTCTCTTAACTACTGAGCCATCTCTCCAGCCCCAGGTCATAAATTTCTTAATATCCTTGCAACAATGTCTGTGGATTTGCTGTGGTGTCCTCTTTTTTTCTTTAAACCCCTAAGGCAGTAATTTCTAGTTGGAGGTATTCGAGTTTACTAATATTATCATAAGTTGTAATATCTTTATTTATCTTTTTATGCCACATTTTTATTGTTTACTTCTTTCTGTATATTTTGCATTGTGTTTGTTCACTTGGGCATTGCTATTTTCTAACACAGGCATTTCCTTTAAGTTTTGCTTTGTAGCATATTATAAGTTTTGTCATGCATTTGCATTTCTTCACTCAGTTCAAGATATTTTCTGTGATTTCTTCCTTTACTCCTGGCTTTCTAATAGCCGTCCTTAGTTTATTGTCAACGTGACATAAACTCGAGACATCTGGGAGGAAGGAAGCTCAATGGAGACAATGCATAAGGTTGGCCTGGAGGCAAGCATGTGGGGCATTTCCTTGACTAATGGTTGATATGGGAGTGCCAGCCCACTATGGGTGGTGCCAGCCCACTATGACTGGGCAAGTGGTCCTGGGTTAAGAAAGCAGGCTGAGAAAGCCAGGAAGAACAAGCCAGTAAGTAGCAGTCTTCCATGGTTTCTGCTTCAATTCCTGCCTCCAAGTTCCTGTCCTAACTTCCTTCAGTGATAGACTGTTCAGCTTGAAGTATAGGATGAGACAAACCCTTTCCTAACAGTTACTTTTGGTCAGTGTATTATCACAGCAATAGAAACCCTAACTAAGGCATAGTATTTAATTTCTAATTATTTGGGGATATTTCTGAAGATGATTTTGACTCTGCTTTTCTAGGTGTGAGCCAGTATACCTAAATCTGTCCTCTTTTGGAGCGATCATATTCACATTGCACACGTGTATAAATGTTATGTGACAGTACTTCATTTTAAAAGCATATTTTATGTGTATCCACAAACTGCCCCTTTCCTTTGTCATTCTGTCAGAAGAACTTTCTCTTGCATTTTTTGTAGAATAAATAAATATCAATTCTCTTTGTCTGGAAAAAAAGTATTTTAGTATTTGAAGGCTGTTTTTGCTGGAAGGGAATGCAAGGTTGTTGGTGTTTCCTTTTTGTTATATGAAAAAATTCTCAATTCTCATTAGGAATTTCAGAATTCCTGTTTTATCATTACCCATCTTCTTCCTAATTGTCTTTCTTCTTTCATTTGTTTGCTTTACAAATTTACTTTGTATTTAAATTTCAAAATGTAGATAGGTTTTCTTTTTATTTCTCACCTAGCCTCTTGAGACTGTCAGTTTATATTATTCATTGAATGAAAAATGAGGACATGGATGCTCCAAGGTATGGCTGAGGAGAAGGTTTATTATAGATATGAGGGAGAGAACAGCCAGAGGCATCTGGAAGGGTCCAGACTGAACCAGGCCATGTTAGGAGGTGGGGAGGAGGCACAGGAAGACCGAGAAAGGAAGAAAAGAAGGGAGAGGAAAGAAAAGGGGACCAGGAAACAAGAGAACCAAGAGTGAGCCAGGAAACAGGAGGCAAGAAGCCATGTAGCCAAAATGGCTAAGTTATACAGGGAAGAGAAGCTCAGGGGCTGGAGAGGGTTAGGGTAGGTGGTTAGGGATGCTACCCAGAATAACTCTGTATTTGTAAGGATAAAGAGATGCTGGGAGGCACCTGAAAGCCATCGTCCACTCTGATGTGTTAAATAGGCACCTCAGTCAGCCATCTGTCCAGGGTTTCTTTCTGAGACCTAACACTCATCTATTTTCTGATCAGCACATTTAAAACCATTTCTACTTTCTCTCCCTGTTCTTGTCTGGAATGTGAAACGCACACATATTAGAGCTTGTGTGTGCATCTCACACACAAGAATAGTCACTGTTCTATATTTTGATTAAACTTTCTATGAGCTTCATCTGGGATTTTTCTGTTGATCAATTTTTAGATTTAGCAATTCTTTCCTTCTGCAGCAAGTCTTCTAATACTTAAACCTATCAAATGAGATAATTTCAGATACTGTATTTTAGTGTTAAAATGTCAATTAGATTTGATTCAGATTCTCTAGTGTCAGTATTTTACACGTCTTCTCTTTTTTTCTTTTTATTAAGATGGGCTAACGTCCATTCAAGTCCTTATTTACAAATTCTAAAAGGATAATTCATGATACCACTTCCACTTCTTTCCTGCTGATTATCAATCATATAACCCTGCCTCTCCACACGTCTAGCTTCTCTCTCTGATCTCTTGTTGCAGTGAGAGAACTGGATTGCTGTGACTTACTTAGAAACAGTTCTCCCCTCACTCTGCAAATTCTTTCTACTCTATGAGTATTTAAATTACCACTGTTTTTATTTATTTGAAATCTGCCTGAATGTTGGATGCCATTGATCGATTCTGTTTATCTTTTGTGTACCTATGTTGTCTATAAGAGAGACAGACTAGACAGGAAGGGACATGAGAGAGCAACCAACCAAGAAGAGTGTGTGTGTGTGTGTGTGTGTGTGTGTGTGTGTGTAGATAGTTACATACACCCATTATACCATAGAGCAAGTGAAGAGACCAATTTGGGTATCAGTCCTAGCCTTCCACCTTATTTGAAACAAAGTGTCTCTTTTTGTTTTTTCTTGCTCACACACAGACACACAGACACAGACACACACACACAGACACACACACAGACACACACACACACACAGCCAGTGCCAGGCTTTAGGTGGATTTGAATTGAATTCAGGTAATCACACTTGCACTGTACTTTACTCTGAGTATTTGCCCAGCCTTTATTTTTAATCAAAAAGAGTACAGTTGTTCCTTGTGTGTTCTAAAGTAAACCAACCATTTCCACTGCTAAGAATGGTGATCTAGTGATCCTTTGAAAGTCCATCATAGGTGGTACAAACCAATCCATTTTTCACTCATAGAAGTTGTTAGGAATAAAAACACATAAATACCATTACTCTACGTTAAATAGAGCACTGAAAAGACAAGGTTAGAATACACTGTCCTAACCCTTGGCCCTATTATTTACTCTAGTATATTTTAAAGACCTTAGGAAACTATAAGTATACTATAAAATGTCTTACATATTATTAAAATGCCTAAATCTACATAAAAGCCTTAAATTAAACATGAGAGCAGGGATAAAAGTGATTCAGAGACAATCAATAGTATAAGATAAGAAAAGAGTACAACTATTGACCAACAGGAGCCCAAGGCAAACCATTTTTAATATAGGCTTAAATAGCTCCTACTTACTTCCACCGGTGCTGAAGCTGAACCTCAACACAGTAGCTGTCAAGGTACAGGGTAAGCAGTCAGAATGTGAAAGTAAAGAATATCCTGTATGTTATGACAATATAGCAATATCAAATACACACTATGAAAACGCCTTCTTACACATGACCTCATCATGAGTAAATGTGATGAATGAACCACGTTAACTCATATTTACCAAAGGAAAAGGAAAAATGGTTTTCAGAAGCCTTAAAACACAATTAAGAAATAAAAAACAAACAAACAAAAAACCCACATAGGTGAGATCTTCATTCTAGCAGTGCAATGCGTCCACGAAAGAGAGTCTGGAGGACAATCAGAACGGCTTTCCCAAAGCAAAAGCTACCTGGAACAATTCTAAGGTCTGAGCCAGCAGGATGTGAAACAGACAACAAATACACTGAGCTTCCCTGATGTTCAAAAAACGAATTACTAAGAAACTGCAAGTGAAATAAAATAGGACTACAAATACGGCTATAAAAAAGTTGTGTATAAAGTGAGTTAATAATATTTGTTCCAGAGTTAATTAAGAAAACACATCTAAAATAATAGGGTTTGGAAGAAAATTTAAAATTTCAAAATAGAAGAACTAAAAACAAAAAAGTGATTACAAATTTAAATGATAAGCAGGTATAAATTACAATCACAAACAAAAAACAACAACAAAAAAACCAACCACCTTTTTGGTTGAAAGTGAAGACAGAACCAAAATCCCTTTCACAGGCTTCAAGCTCAACCCTGTACTGTATGACTTGTCTAGCTTTAAGGTACTATAGGTCAAAAGCTAAGAGTCATCCCATTTTCTAAAGGCAGAATAAAAATGGCAAGTAAACCTTACCTTTGCATACATTAACATTTCATTATGTGACAAGTGTTATTTGCAAACTATGCAGAAAGGTGTATCAACTAAATGACAAAATGGTGATCACTGAAAACACTTCCACAAAAACAATTTTCAAAGTCCTTCAGTAATCATGAATAAACTACTATACCTTAGCAAGTGATTTCACAATAGGATTCTCCATAATCCCTTTGAGAAAAATTAGGTCTATTTCTTCTGCTCCAGTAGATGAGGGCAGTTCCGTAAGGTTTTCCAAAACTTGCTGCATTTCTGATGAGATAAAAGCCACGTAAGAATCAGTGAATACATAAAGGAATACTCAAATTCCAGGCCATTATGGAGTAAGAATATAAAGTCATACAAATAAAAAGAAATTAGCAAAACTCTTTTGAAAAATCTTATCGAAAAAAATAAATTGTTGCCGGGCGTTGGTGGCGCACACCTTTAATCCCAGCACTCGGGAGGCAGAGGCAGGTGGATGGATCTCTGTGAGTTTGAGACCAGCCTGGTCTACAAGAGCTACTTCCACGATAGGCTCCAAAGCCACAGAGAAACCCTGTCTCGAAAAAAACCAATAAATAAATAAATAAATAAATAAATAAATAAATAGTTAAACGCTGAGTTTAACATTAATTGCTGTTCCATGAATTGGATGAATGTTTAAATACAGCTTTGATTTTATAAGACTACACTTAATGCAAACATACTTAAAACTCATTTGCTTTTTGTTTAACTTTGAAGATACTACCCAAGAGGAAATAAAAATATGAAGAATTTATACAATGTAAAGAGATTAATAACACACACACACACACACACACACACACACACACACACACTCACTCACTTTCTGTACGTTCAAAATCAGATCACTGGTAAATTCCACCAAACACTTAGAATTAAAACTAAAACTTGACAAACTTTCCAAATAATGTCAGAACATTCTCCTTTGTGTGTGTATAGGGTGTGTGTGTGTGAGGGAGTTGAGAGAGGTTTTCACTGTGTAGCTCTGGATGGCCTGGAACTCAAGAAATCCACTTGCCTCTCATTCAGAAAGAGTTAAACGCTAGAAGCAGATCCATAGATTATCAGATAGTGAACAAGACTTTCCATAAAAGAAAGTTCCTCCCACCCCAACAATTGGACAATTAATCATTTATAAACTGGTCCTGGACAATTAAACATATATAAAATGTCAACATAAACCCCTGTTCTCAACAGATTATCACATTCTTAATGTTATCAGTTTTAGTTCATTTTGATGTTTCTTTAAAAATAAACTAATACTGCAGTTATTTAAAATTCACAAATATTTTCATTATAACAAAACACAAACATCAAAAGCCAGGAGGCTGATAATAAAATGCAGCACTCCCTGTTCATGCTGTCTACCCATGCTGGGGAGTATTAGTTTAAGTTGTACTATATTAGTTTGTGATATGGACTATTTGTTTAATGATGCAAAGATACATTGCATTCTCTAATGTTGCATTTGTTTAACTCTGCACTGTGTTACTTAGCCTGTCTAAAACACATGACTTATCTAATAGAGAGCTGAATGGTCAATAGCTAGGTAAGAGAGAAAAACAGGTGGGGCTGGTAGGCAAAGAGAAGAGTGAGGGAGGAAAGAAATAGGACCAGCCATCCAGCAACACAGTCAGACTTGGAGTAAGAAAGAAAGCAAGAGATGAATAAAGAAAGGTAAAAGCCCAGAGGCAAAAGGAAGACCTTATAATTTAAGAAAAGCTGGCTAGAAACAAGCCAAGCTAAGGCAGGTATTCTTAAGTAAGAGTAAGTTTCCATGTATTTATCTGGGAGCTGGGCTGGGGATCCCCAAAGACCAAAAAGTAATAAAAACCAAGGACACACCCATCTCCTACACTTCCCCACTCTCAAGTAGGGCCTATTCCAGATTTGTTAATCTTTCTCCTAATCAGGTCTGTAGACAGGTTTCTGTTTTGTTGGGGAGACTTGCTACTCAAGTCTTTCCCTTGCTATTTTTTTATTCTTCCTTCCTTTTTTTTCCTTTTCTTTCTTTCTTTTTTTTTTTTTTTTTTTTTTTTTTTTTTTTTTTTTGAGACATAGTCTCTACATGGCCCTGACTGTTCTAGAACTCACTATGTAGACCAGTTTGGCCTCAAACTCACAGAGATCCCTCTACCTCTACGTGGAAAAATGGATACTACACATCCTCAACTATTTTTAAGATCCTCCTAGGTTGCTACTGCTTTTGACCATATGGAATAGAATTAGAACACAAATAAAAGTATCAATCCCCCAGGTTCTTTTTAAAGGAGGGAATCCCCCAATTTGGAAGCTCAGATTTTATTTATTTTTATTAGTTATTTCTTTTATTTTTGAGATTAATTATATCTTGATAGTATAAAACTATCAATCATCCTTAACTAATTTTTGCTTCCCCTGCGTTTTCTTCTTCCTCTCCCTTTTCCTCATTTCTTTACTTCCTGAGTCAAGGTCTCACTATGTAGTCCTGACTGGCCTGAAACTCACTATGCAGACCACGATGGTCTTGACTTTTGTTTCTGTCCTCTGAATACTTAGCTTTTCACTTGATGAAATTTTTTAAAGTAAGATTTAGATATAATTTATTTTTCTTTAAATTATGAGACAGGGCTTCCCTGGCTGTCTTGGAACTCATGCAACAGACCAGGCTGGCCTGGGACTCACAGAGATCCACCTGCCTCTGCCTCCTGAGTGCTGGGATTAAAGACGTGCGCCACCATGCCTGGCTACTTTAATGAATTTCTAATAAAAACCTAATACATATTTCTTTTCACCTACATTATGCTAAAGACACTTGAACAGATAGAGGAAGCGTGAGGACATTTAACAAAGGGTAAGAGTGGACTGGCCCAACTGACTAAATGAGGGATTCTGTTCTTTCTCTCCAATATTACAGACAACAAAGTCTCAACTGTTCCTTACAGATGTATCCCGTGTTATTTTATGGTTTTGGACAGAAACAGGAGTGTTTTTTGTTTCTTCATCATCAAAGTCCTTTCGTGCCCAAAGTTCCAATAAAGTATGTTCATGTTTTAAAACAAAACAAAGAAACCCTAAACAGAAGAGAGAAGAAGCATGAAATAAATCAGACATAGTTAACAGGAGGATGCTAATGTATGCAAGTGCTTCCTGTATGAAATAAACTCTGCCATGGGGAAGCCTTGAGAAGTTGGGCCAGGCATTAGGCCAGGTGTCACTAAACCAAGGAGGTGCCCCTAATTTACTTTGGTTCCGGGGGAAAAAGGCAAGTCTGAGAGTTCATAAGAAGTTATCTGGACATTCCACTCCCCCATATTCCCTGAAGGAGAGACCTCTTAATCAGTTGTACAAAATGAGGCTTTATCTGAGTGAGAGAAAAGCCAGTACTTAATTTTGCCCTCCAATCTCAAATATGAACAAATCAAGGAGTATTTAGGAAATTCACCTCCATGGACAAGAGGCATCAAATTCAACGAGCATAAGCACTAAGTTCCAAAGAGCCACTGAGACAGCGGGAAGAGAGCAGGGCAGTGGAAGGAGGAAAGGGAAAAGCAACAAAATAATGCTGGGGGAAAGCTTTAAAACAGCAAAGGAGCTACAGTGCACCTCAGGAGTAGGGAATACTTGTCAAGCTGCATTTGGGGCCTGGGTTTAATTCCTACCAAAAGAGGGAAGGTAAAGGGAGAGAGACAGGAAATATGAGAAACAGAAAACCACTGTGAAATAAGTAAAAGCTTCTAAGGGACTGAAAGGAAGGGGAAAGGGTGAAGAACTGGACGGCAAAAATAATCAATAGATGTTAAAAGAAAAAAAAAACTCTTTAAAAGAAAAAAATGAAAGATTGAACTTCACAAAGTGGAAAATCAGAAATGTAAAGGGTGAGTAAATAAAAGGGAAAACAGAAATCAGTCAGCTACATTACAATTAAAATATGCCAATAAATAGCTATTTCATTATGAATTTTCTGAGTGGCTATATATCAGAGCAACAGAAAAAATTAATACTTTCCCTAGATGGTAGTAATAGCCATTTAAAGGTAAATAAGATGTTCAGATATGAGGAAATTATAAAATTATACTATATAAGTCATTTAAAACATATTGACAATTTCTATAAGAATCACTAGTAAAAAGATGCCAATTCATTTCAAATTATTCTTTAAGAAAGAAAAGAATGGAACATAATAGATATTCCAATAGGAGTTTTAGTTAAAAATTTTACCTGAAATAGAAAATTAGCTAGTACACTTTTAAAACCATAAATATATGGGGTTCCTGAGCTTTCAACCACGAAACACTAGGAAGTGTGCATCAATGTCTCAGTAACAGATAAATATTTAAACTAAGTACCTACATGAAATTCAGTACACAAAAAGATGACAGAACATAGCAGATTATTCAACTTTATTACTATGTCTCTTCCCTTCAAGATTCCTTCTAGAATGCCAGCAAAGTATTAGTAAGAGGTTTTGTTTTGTTTTTAAAGAAAAGAAGAAGAAAAAGAAAAAGAAAGGGTGGAAACATTAGGCCAACATAAAAATTAAAGCTTGAAAGTGGTAGAAGTAGAAACTCAAAGTAACGATGAGCCAGGTCCTCCTGTCACAGTATTTCTTGAATCTACCCATTCTTTCCCAGGCAATGCGTCTTAGCTATAATCGTAGCTTGTCCAGACTATCACTGCAGCCCATCTATAACTGTTAGCTTCCTTTTACTGTTACAATACCTGAGTCAAGCAACTTTAAAGAGAAAACAGTTATTTGGCTTACAGTTTTGAAGTTTTCATACAGGACCAATTGCCCCACAGCTTTGGGCCTGTAATGGCATACCATAGCAGAAGCCTACTGCAGGGCAAAGCTGTTTACCTCATAGCCAGGATAAGAGAGAAAGAGACTAAGGTATCAGAACTCCTTTTGAGGGCATGCCTCAATAAAAATCTCCCATGAGGCCCTACATCTTAAAGGCTTTGCCACCTGCCAATAGCACCATGAGGTGGGAACCTTTGGGGGGGGTACTCCACATCCAAACCATGGCAATGACCCAAAAGGAAGTAATTAAAATGTAAATTTTAAGCCTTTTAATACATTGCTGGATTCAATCTACTCCAACCTTTGTAGCTTTAACCACCCAATCCTTCCCTAGCCTTGACACAAAATCCTCTCCTGTTTACCACTGCTTACAGACAACCACCTTTGCACATCTAATTCACGCTTATCTTTCAGAAGCAAAATTTCAACCCCACTGACTGCTCCAATTAGGATTTCTCTTAGT